AATAACTTTAGAGCGTATCGCCTTTATCTGGCTCCTATTTGAATTTGCTTTTGATCCCTTATTCCAGACATCTCTTTGTATTGTTTGCAGCTATAAGTCGTTTTAATAATTTCTTTATATTTTTTGAAAATCTATGTTTTGAGTTGTGAGAGCTTGGATAACTGCATTAATTTCAACTGAATAAAATGCTTTTCATTCGTCTGCAGAAGACTGTTATCATGGTGTTTGATATTGATTCGTTCTACTGAGTATGAGACTGATAGTTTTTATGTGGTTAGTGGTAGGACACATTTTATGAATTCAGCTTTGCTTGTACTTAGTTGACCTTTAAATTGACCATTATATATCAAGTTGTCTGTGATCTTCGGGAACAGTTTAAATACATTTGGTAAGGAAAGATGAGGATATGAAGGAAGAGGCTACATGGGGGCCTCGACTCTGCACGGAGCAGTCTGTTTTCACAGGGGGTGGAGAGAGGGATTCAGAGTGGGGGTGGCCACGCAGGTCACATGATTTTAATGGAGGCTGAAGCTGATTAAGATATATTGATGGGTTGACAAACGTGTTGATCAGCTCGGAACACTAGAATGATTTAAGCACCTTTACAAATTTGAGAGACTTATTTAATTTCGGTTACTTAATAAATGTAACATTGAGCATATGGGCAAAAATGAACAAGGATTAAAATGTACCCTCTTGCAGTACTTTATATTAAAATAAACTGTAAATAATTATTTAGATGTCTTCCCATAAGCCATACGTAAGTGTACTTATAAATAGTATACACTTGAATATGAAACCATTTATTTTAATGTACCAAATAAAAAAATGTCACCGAACAGCGTTTATGAACATTGCTTTAATTGGCGGTTAGTGCACCAAACGCTACATGTTTCAGAGGTTGCTCAATTGAAGCAATTGGCGGGACCCCGGGGTCCCATCACTGCCCCGGGGTGGGAAAAACCGCGTAGCGACACGAGTCTTGCCTTACCGACAATCGATTGGCCTCGTCGAGAGCTACTCGGGGCACTAAGTTTCATAAAAAGTTGAAAAATTACATAAACACGTTAAATTCACTGCGGGGGGCGGGCTCGCCTAGACAAAGAAGCTGAGGATCGACGACTGACCGGAGGGCGTTGTCGCCGCGCGTGACTGCGGCGGACGCCCCCCGGGGCTTGCGTTTGGCCGGTGGGGTGGCGCCCATCGTGTCGATCGCCGCCTGCTGCTGGCGCTTGTTGGCGCGAGTCTGGGCGGGCGGCACGTTGCTGTCGGGATCACGAGTGGGCGGACTGAAAAATAATAATTATTGACCAGATTTTTGCGGGACCCGGTCCCGCCAAATGATTCAATTGTTGTCCTGTAATCAAAAGGACAATTTGCACTCTTTACATCCAAGGTTGTGGCTACGCGTAATTCTTTGTTGCTGGGGAATTTTGTCACAGGCGAGACGCCCTCCAAACTCGAAAGATACGAGGGCCCTCGTGATAAGGGGAATGAATTTAGTCCGTGGCTGGGTTGTAGCACACTGTACGTGTGGCTCAAAGGTAGTGGCTCAGGCGGCTCATTGGGAGCTGCCTGGCCCCTGCAGCCTTCTGTTGACCTGGTTACCGTGAGTCATCTTGTCACGTTTAATAATGATGCTGGGACCTGTCTGTGAAGATTAGTGGAATCGTCACAGTTGAGCGCATGGTAAAGAGGTTGGAGTGGTTATTGTTTTAAATATGAGCTTGCATAAAACGAGTCGCTTGGTAGATGTATTTCTTTTGTTGTGAGATTTTTATTTTATTTTATTTTTCATTTAAATTTTGAATTTTACATTGGGGAAATAATCTGCTTAGAATTCCATTGGGCATTCGCTGTACTAAATTACAATTATTTTATTGTGCTTTATCAAGAAACGTTTTGAATGAAAATTGTTGTTGGTCATTAATAAAAAAAATCATTAAAAGTGAGACGTACACTAGTAGAATCAACTTAAAATGTTTACATAGTACACAGGTTGGCGAGAACATTCAGGCAAGTCCTATTTGGGATCACGGAATGATTCGCAACAAGAAAAAATGACATTAAAAATTATAGTACCACGTGCACGCCCATCTGTTTCATTCGATGCTATTTAATATTTGCTCTTGAAAGCCGTGACATTTCGCTGGGCCTTTGAGATGCATTTTTTTAATATTCTGGTAAATATAGTTGTTTTCTTGAGGAAACAGCTGCACAACCACATACTCCAATCAAAATGCTTGAACACGGACCGTCACACTCATTGCAAACATGTCCCACAACCATTGTAAAATTACACTGGCATGTAACCCATTGCTTTATACTACGAGTATTAGTTTCATCATTTGTGTTTTCTCATGAAAGCACTATTGTGGTTTGTAAAAATATTTTTACGTTGAAAAGTGCCTGAAATTCCTGCAAATAAATGCAACAATTTGTTTTATGGAATGCTTGAGAACACATTGTTCCACACGAGGAGCATTTGAATATCAGAGAAGAGGTATTAAGTTGGACTTCTTGTAAAGGTTTCGCTAGATTTGCAGTGGAAAGCCGTTAAGCCTCTGGCACACAGCAGGAGGTGTGGGGAAAAGGTCTTAGGTGCATGTTTGCTTTGTCGGGCAGTAAAACAACAGAGGCCACTGTAAGATTTATCTCTCCCTGCAGAGAGAAGTATTTGTTTGAACTGTAGGTACTCTGCATGTGGGCATTGTTCTAGCTGGAACTCAAGGAGACTTCATTTACGAAGCTGTAAAGAGATGTATTTGTACATCCAGGTAGTTATTCCCATGTTTGTCGAGAATACCCATCGCCAGGTGCTAGGCCAGGTGTGTTAGTGTCCACACACATGCAAATCCAATGAGAAAATCTCCAAATAACTTTTAACTCAAGGGAAGTGTCTTAGAGGTCAAATTGTATATAAAATATGCAACATTCCGGTTGAAAAGCCGTTTATACTTTTGCGGCAGAAGGTGATGTTGCTGCAAATTGATTATTACTGCACAAAACTCTTAAATCCTGATAGCACAGGATGTTATGGGTGCTGGTTTTATGGGTTGCTTGTAGATGTCCTATTGGCCTTGATGTTTTTATGGTGCCGTTAGGCAAGATAGGGGCAGTCAACGGTCAGAGGTGTGCTCAGTGTGTGGTTAATGTAACTGGTTGGTGGTTCTATACAGTCATAGCAGTTTCAGAATTCATCTATTAAAATCGATTCTTAAGGCCCTTGACACAGGCATTAAATGGCATCAGGGGCAATATTTTTCAGTTTCTACAAATGATTTGTAAGAAATTGATTGGCATCAAGGAGGACTCGAAGAGAAAAACGTAGACATACAGGAAACTATTTCCATGACTGGAGATTGGGATGAGTGGAAAAAGTGTTTGTACAGCCGCATTGTAGGCTGCCTTGTGAAGACTGATGGATGAGAAAACAACTGATATGGAAATTATATGCAAATGTTAAATGAAGGGTAACGGTGCAAAACGTACAGACGTTTAATAAAAAAAAGACAAATGCTACAAATGAGATGGAAAAATGATACGTGAAAGAATTTATGCTTGAATTGAAGTATGGCCCTGAATCACATGACATTCTAATTTCCCGCAGTGATGGGGAGGGCCGGTGGTGAATTGATACGTCTTTTGTTATATAGCATTTAAAAAAAAACAATTACTTGTGTTTAAATTGTGGAAATTAAGGCAAAATGAACGACCATCTTCGGCGAAAGGGTTTCATTGCAATAAATATAGTTCATAATGGTCCAAATCGCTACTGCAAGTTGCATATCAGTAGCAACTTTATGTGGACACGCGAATGTGACATTTAGTTTTGCAAACTATTAAAATAGGCAGACATTTATAGCGTTAATTAGAATGTCAACTTGCAGCTGTTGCAATTTAAGTAACTTCTGTTAATGGGAATACATAAAAAAATATATATAATAATCAACACCCTAGGAATATATTTTTTATCGTATTTATATTTAATAATTTAGAAATGTCTAAGCCCGTTAAAACCTAAATAAAACGTGTTATAACTATTTTAAACACTGTCATCGCAACTTGTGGTATTCATATTAAACTAGCAGCAATGCATGGAGTGAGTATTGCCTGCTGCAGGAACTTTAGAACTTCTTGTTTAGAGTAATTATACTTTCTAATTGTTTTAATATTACAGGTTTCCTATGCTTTTTGTGGTAGGTGCATTCCAGAAAAGAGAGCACGAAGTAAAAACTGTGTGAAATGTAGCGCATACAGTACACACGCTTATATCACATCTGAACGTATGAGTAAATTCAAACCTCATAACACATTTTGGGTAAAAATTGGTTTTCCGTATGTACGCGAAATTGCACAAATCGAACTCGCATAAAGCGAAGGAAACCTGTATAAATCCTTTGCGATGCACTTTATTGTAATCCATATGCCATATGTTTTGCATATGCTATATATTTAGAATGTTTAATGCATGTTTATTTGCATTGTTTAATTTATGATCTGAAATGGATGCTTCAGCTATCCATTTCTCGGTTACTGTTATCTTTGTTACCACCACCATTGCGTAATTCATTATCAGTTGTGATGTAATCATGCCACAGTCAGTTGACTAGAGTCAGCCAATTTTGCCCTTCAAGGCCAATAAAGTAAGTACCACTGGAAAGTCAGCAGTAATTCTCCTGTGGATAGACTGGCCCCCACCATGGAAAATTTGAATGTTTCAACAATGGCTCAGGGCCACCAAGTGGAAATAAAACGCTTCAACTTGACTTTATTGTAAGATGTTCTCAGCGATACAAACTACGTGTGTGTCGCCACCCCAGTGGTACAAAGAGACAAGGACATATCATGAGAAAAGGAATAACTCAGAACTTTTAATGTTCTGAGAAGACTTGTAGGTTTCCCAGGACAGCTACTTCAAAATGAGGATGATCCTGGGAAAAGTGAGACAGGTGGTTAACACCAGGTGTGCGCAATGTGTGATGTATTCCCTTCGACAGCTGGCGACCTGTACGGTGACCACTACGGCTCGGTGAGCGACGTGCTAGGGGCCGGCGGCGGTGCCGGTGGCGTGGAGGTGGGCGCCGGAGTTGGTCGCTCGGGCAGAGGCATCTCCATGTCGCTGCCCTCCTCGCCCATGCTGCCGCGCCAGCCCAGGGCAGTGCTGGGACCCCCGCCCCTTGGTGCCGCCCGTCCTCCAGGTGACTACCCCATTCGGCATAGCTCTCTGATGTGCTTTCAGGTTTTACGTTGTGGTCCGGAAGAAGGTGTCACCGGCACGTGGAGCAAAATATCGGGCATCATTCCGAACGCCATACAACACAAAACACGTCAGAGCGATGTACAGCACGACTGGGTTGTACTCTGCTTTCTCAACCAATCAGTCATTCTATCATGATGTGCGCTGCTGTTATGTTGCTGCTAATGACCAAGCCGAGCGGCAATGCATTGGGTTTGCATCTTAGCGGGAAACAATTTTCAGTCGCATGTTGTTTACGAAAACTGAGACCGTGAAAGATTATTTTGCCGTTAGGGAACAGTCAAGATTATTTTTGTTATTCCTTTATTAACATACATTTTGTGTTTATTGTTCTTACAGGCACAGATATGGCTACTTTATTTGTTTTCGGGAAAGATATTTGTGTTGTGTCAAGTTTATGTCTTTGCGTGGGGGGGAGGGGGTAGCATTGGCAGAGTGCTTAGTGCATTGTGCTATGAACCTGGATACTTGAGTTTGATTCCCAGACCAAACTGACATCAGAGGTGATAATGGAACCAGTCCGAGATCTCCACTACGTTGACCCAGCCTTAAATGAGTACCTGGTGCAGTGCATATAAAGATCATTTGTGGGGGAGACAGGTGGTAGGTAAGTCGCGGTCCTGGCCGTACCATCCGCTCGTGCATCTTACCGGCCTATAGAGGTGCTCACTAACAGCACTAGCCCCAACAGTATATAAAGGCTATATATGAGAGATTTGTGTGCATGTGTGCGTTTGTGCATGCATTCATGAAGGTAGTGGTCTTGTGAAAATTGGTGTGAAAATGGTACCAATTAAACATTAAGTACCAATGTATTCACACGTACACGCCACATGCCCAAGGTTAAATGCACAAACCCGCACAAATACACTATGCGTGCATTTGTGTTGCATTGAATGAAGCGCCGTATTTGTGTGTTGGTAATTTTTTTATCTGAATTGTGTTGTGCAAATGCTTCTCTTGTAAATGATGCTGCAGTGTATGTCCGACGGACGGATATGGAGCTGTACTGACACGGGATGGCAATATATTTGACAGATAAGCTATTTTGAGTGGTTTTGAACCATCACCTATCTATAAATTTGCCACACTGACAGCCCATTTATATCATTTTATCAGGAGCAACAAAAATGCCAAGGATTAATAATAAAATAACTTGCAAAACACAATCGGGGATCATAAAATGCTTGTCAGTGATATATGCAGCATTGTAATGATAAGTGCAAAAGATATTGTTTTACCCCAACAAAAATCACACGGTTTATCAAGTAAAGCAAGTAATGTATGCAAAGAGTGTGGCATAGTACAATACATGTTGGTTTCTGTTTTATACCGCCTTCACGGTTTGCGTACAGATGTGGTTGGGCACCCAAAAGTGTACCATTTCTCCTCTTCCTACAGCGCATGTTTGTCGTGAAATTTGTCGGTTTGGCTTCAGCAGCCAAGCAAAGCACTGCCCGTAGAGAGTGGAGCTGGTTTCTGCAACAGCTCCCCGTGCACACGGGGAAACCACTTAATGTACATCACCGTTGTGTTCGTGCACAAGGCGTTTTAGCGTGATTTAAATTTTGGTTTCACAGAAGGCATTTAGTGAATTTATTTTTATCCTAAATGTTTGTTTTTTCGTACATTATCACTCGACACCCAAGTCATCTGTAAGGATATCTTTCTTCCTGCCATCATGCACAGGGTCTCAGTAAGGACATATTTAGAGCAGGGACCTCCCGCAGCTCTATGGTTACCCTCACTTGCAAGCCTCTACAGCTGGACCCATCCAGGAGAATCTCATTCTTTCTCTGCACATGAGCCAATATGTTTGATCTTTGTACATTGTGGTTTAAATGCAATAAACACAGAAACAAATTTCAAAACAAAGTAGACAGTGATGATCATGCTATGGTGTCTGGGTGAGAACATAAGGAGTAGTTTAAACATCATTCATTGAGATTATCCCTGCACTTTTAGTGAGATTGGAGTAAGATTATTAACAAATGGAATTCAGCACACACTTATATTTTACTGCTTGGAAATGTTCAGCTTGAGAATAGTGGATAAACTGTTAATCAGAACACAATTATGTAAATTTTGTGTAAAAAATATATTTTAAATAACATTTATTTTGTATAACATATTTTATTCATGTTCACTTGAAGGTTATACTAACAAAGAGTTAAACTTAACATTATAAAATTGACATTTCAGTTTAAAATGCCGAGCATGTGTTGATGCTTTCTCGTTTTGTATTCACAGATGTCATTTGCTATTATGCCCTGCATTTATTACATTTATTCGAGACTGATGCTTCCTAAAATACCCATCAATTTCCTCATTGCTATGCTCCCAGTGAAGGCCCTGGTTTTGTTTTTGCTTGCATGCTGTCCGGCGCGTGGCCTGCGGCCCACTGCGTAACGTCTGGCGTCCCCGTTCTGTACGGCTCAGGTGGTAAATGTTTGTCGCGTTCAGACTTCCTTTAAACCTGTTTCGTTTATAAAGTCCTGGAGTAATATTAACCAGCGACGGGAGGATCCAGTATTGTTTCTCTTTTGAGGGAAATACCTCCCCGAGCACGTCCTCACCGCTTTACTCCTCGCGAGCTCTCGCCAACTGCACCGGTCCCCCCCCCCCCACTCCTCCCCGTCAAGGGTCATTTTTAATTAAAGGAAAAAATGCTCTGAGGAATTGCAAAAGCGTGTTTCACATACTTTGGCATTCGGTTAATGTTTCCATTTCTTTGTAGCCCAGTCTTGCAGCCCACCTAAAATCAAACATCGATCCACTTGTTTTCATAGCTGATAGTCTGCAATACTGTAGTGTATTGTAATGTGTGGCTGTTCTGACTCGTCACGTTTGTGTTTTCTGTAAAATAATCGATTGCCAGATAGGTGAAGGTTTTTGGATATTAAGTAGGTGCCCCATCACGATTTACCCCCCAGGGAATTGGTGAATTGTCCTGATTTTGGGTCACACTTCCATTCAATAATTTATGCTTTTTAATGTTGGTTTTATTGTTTCTTTTGCATTTTTTACAATCTTTTTATTCCTTGTAATAGTTTGATCCACTCTTCGGTTCAGTTTGATCCACTCTCATTTGCATGAATGTATAATTAGAATATTATTTGTATCGCATACAGTTTGCATAAATGGTACATAATTGATTCTTACAAGTGTGATTCCAAGCGTGTATTGTGAGTGTGGATCGATTTTGCTCGATGAATTGATGCATTGTTACTGACATGCTTCAGACGTACAATTAAAACACTGAAACTGGAGCTGATGTTCCCATTAAAACTGTTTAGCAGATGTGAAAGGTCTTAGTTTTTTTTAATTATCATGCTGCTGTTATATTTCAAGGCATATTGAGAAAAGCATTTGTCATTGCACAGCTGAAGCTGCAGCACATTGTTGCCTTTTAAAGCAATTGTTCAGTCTCATATAATGTGAGCAGCCGAGTCTAAAATTATGGGGCCATGTTTAGTATTCAACCCTGCATTGGTTTTCCATTAAATGAGAGAAAGTAAAAAAGCCAATCCTTTCAATAATTAAACTAAATGTAATGCGTTATGCTATCTTCACCTCCATGTGCATCCACAATAATGATTGAGTCGCAACCAATGGTCAATCCACTGTTGAATGAAACAACCCCCTCTCCTACGCCATGCTTGTTATTGGGGAGCATTTAACCGCACTTCACCGCACCGGTCAGCGAGGGTCCGTGAAGGGTGGTGGGGGGGGTGCCCAGGGTTGGTCAAGGAGGGCTCCAAGAGTGGCTCAGATATCACTTGCAACTGACATTAGCTGTGGCCATGAATCAAACCAGGTTCAGATTTAATTCATTTATTTCGGCAGGAAGGGCCCACAATAATAAGCTGTTAGGCTGTATTTCATAGGTCTCTCATGGAGCAGCACGTTGATGAACCACTGCACGACCATTCACGATACTGTGTTGGATCCATAACACTTGTACGCTTTTAAAAAATTCCCATCGGTCATTTCCATGTGGCCAAAAATATGGGACATTGGCAAATAAAATGAAACAAAGTCTGAAAAGTCTGCTTATAAGCAGGGAGACATGCATGCTTGGAATTCCCCAGAGTGATAGAAGAACACGTGGATCATAGCCTAAGCAAGAGACACTATCGGGAGTATTAAAGAGTATGTCGGCTTGGAAAAAGCACGTCGCTAGAAAGGATGATGGCCGGTGGTCTAAGCTAACGATGGTGTTGTAGCCTAAGAATAAAATATGCCCAAGAGGACATTTACCATGGAGATACAGCAATAAAATAATTGTGTGTGTCGGAGCTACATGGTTTGTTGCAGCATGAGACTGTGAGAGATGGCAACAGCTTGGGGAGGCCTTCATCCAGCAGTAGATAACATTTGCTGATGATAATATGCTATTCATTGATACTTGTAGTCAAATGCAAATATTCTCGTGATACTTGTAGTCAAATGCAAACATTCGCGTGTGTATATGTGTGTGTAAGGAGATAAGATAACTCTGAATATACAGGTTGTGTAATGCAATGACAGGGCAAAAGCTGTATTTGTCCAAGGTTTGTCCAAGCTCCTTTACTTGACCTTCACTCTATAATAAAGTAATGGTAGCCCAATGAGAGTCTTCTACAAAAGCCAGTTACGAATTCCCCATACTGTTGTCATGCATCTGACATAATAAGGATTTGTGAAACCTTTAAACACGATTGCCACCAGCAGCCAGGATTACACTTAATGAGGATGCACGTGCCACACTTAACACTAGCATTTAGGAAATCACAAGACTGACAGATTGGGTCGGTAGCCCAGCTGTTTGGCACATGCTGCTGGGTTGGTGTGATCCATTTTTACTCCATGGATAAAGCCACACAAAAATATAAAATGTTCACAGTCTGGTTAAGTTCGATTTAAAATTCTCAAGTTAGATTTTGATGGGCAGCACAATGAAGTAAATCTAACTTGACACTTGGTGGAACAAAGGACAATGAATGATTTTATAACTTAATAAAGAAGGCTACAAAGTTAGGCTCAATGTAATATAGACAAAACGAAGGTGATTTACGACATGTTCACTCAACAGTTGGTTATATTAGTGAAAGGGACAACTGTAATACGAATCAAAATATATTTTCCATATATTTAAGGCAGTTATTGAAGGTGAACTGGGATGAAAGTGATACAAAAAGAGATGGATGAGAGCAGTTTGGAGTGTTTTTGAAAACTGAATTTACGAATGTAAAGCTACACACCATCATACCTAAAGAATAACTGGTGTTTTTTTAACTGGTGTTATTTTTAACTTGCACTGCCCACGCATATTCACGTTCTACGCGACCGGGGTTGAGCGTGGGTGTGAGGAAGGGGTGTGATGTCAGTGGGATGCACGAACTGAGGCTGAACGCTTTGGGATGCGAATGACTTCATCATGCAGATGTGCGTAGTGACATCACCCATGCGCCAGTCGGCTAGCCAGCCAGCAAAACTTTTTTCCAATATAGTACGATTAGCACGTATTACCTACTACGAATGGCAAATACTGCCCTGTATATAATTTACAAGATGTGGCTTTGACACATGCTTGTTGAGCTGACAAGACTCCCTGGCTGCTATAGATTAACTTGAGTTTCAGGTACTTGTCTCTGTTGTATAGGCTCTGTCTAGCCAAACAGAAGCCATATGTTATACATGTACGGTCAAGCACTGCCATGTCGGCCAGACAGCATTAAAGTACCATGCTGCAGTGATAATTTTTAATCTGTAAAAGGGGCACACATTTCTGTCATGGAAAATCAGTTTAAATAAATATGATGCGATGACTATGGAATGCAGCTTTTCACGGGAAAGGTCCCCTGCATGGTGGGATGTTATAACCATTGCCGAGCCCTTGGCCACAAATAATTATTGATGGATACAGAGGATACTCCAGTCGTTTATCAGGCGCTTGTTTTATGAGCTTCAAAGTTCACGCCTATGCAGTATTGTACTTCCTTAACCCTTTCCCGTTCAGATGACAAACATGCACATCATCAGTTTTTCTTCCGTTGACTTCAACGGAACATAACCGGAAGAAAAACTAAGATAAAATTACTTTATCGGTACCAAGGCTCCCACACCTCTTAAAGTCCGGTCGTGTCGCTACAGTTATCTACAGTGAGTTCAATGTCTTTAAAAACAACAGCACTATGCGTCTAAATAAAATTAACACTGAACTGCTTGCGCGTTCTGAGATTCAGCGGTGAACGGGACCCACTCTGCAACTTGCAGTCATCCTGGAAATGGTTAGGTGCTTTGCTCTTTCTTTAAACAAAAAATTTCGGTCTGTACGCCTGTCTGAACCACTAGCTCAAATAATAATCTACGCTGAGCACGCGTAACCAGATGCATGGTGCCATTGTCCAGGTAAGCCGTTTGGCACTTAATGTTCGCAAGGAGTACAAAATGTAAAAATCGCATAAACTGTGACCTCGGATGCGAAGCATGAGTCGCATGAGAACATGTAGCACATGTTCTTGGGTCTTTCGGTAAAGTCAAAAATAACAAAAAGCTACGACATTTTCAGAATACGACCGCTTGTGTTGCGATCGAAACGTCGTAGTTTTTTGTTATTTTTGGGTATGTAGCACATGCTACACATGTTCCAGAGCTCAATGTTGTTCGAAGGACACCGGCTATAGCCTTCACCATAATGAATTCAAGGAACACGGACACGCGGCCGGTGGCTTTTTTTTTGCCAATTGTGACCAGGGACCACATTTCCTGCTTCGCTGCTGCTGCCTGTATGCGTTACTTCCCAGTAATGTTTAGCTTCGCGTTGGAATGCATTTTTAATATTAACCTGCACTACACTGAATACTGTCATGTAGCTGTTTCTGGACTCTTTGGGGTTTAGATTGTACTTTTCATATTTAATGTTATGTTTTGCCTACTGTGGAAATGATAACAAAGTCTACTGCGAACTCACACGGCTGCCAGATTATCTTGTCCTTCTGGGTGTAAAAATTCACCTCCCCCCAACTCTTTCCCCCACGTGATTTGATGTATCGTCATGATTCAGGACCGTAATTTTATTCAAACATATTTTTGTTGTCTAAATTTTACCGACTCGTTCCCCTTTTTTGTCTCATCAGTAAATGTGTGTACATGTCATTAGCCTTCATGTAATATTAGCATATACCATAACATCAATTCTGGGCACATTCGATTCGACACGTGTTTCGTGAGCGCTCGAGAATCGTTCTAAATCGATGCGTTGTCAAATCTGTGCTTGTTAAGAGAACCTTTGTTTATCATAGCAAAATCGAACCTTTAATAAACTTGCGTTAACAACCTTCCTGTTATGGCAGCTGCCCCTGTGCTGTCTCTAAGGTATGCCACCTAATTTGCCCCACAAGGGCCCGCAGCATGGAACACGGCACTTGCGGCATAAGGCTTCTTTTGTATGAATGCTGAAGAAAAATGCGTTTAAAATTCCCCAGGTATCCTATTGGGGGGTTGTGTGATGGGATGAAATACAGTGTACACTGTGTTTAAGGGGCTCATTTTCTATATCGCTGGAGTAAGCTGCATTTTCTTTCATTATTGAAAACGTGATGAGAGACGATTGCACTTTATTAAGCAGTATTATGAACTGGCAAAGCACAGGGCAAATTAAATGAGTGAATACATTAAATCTGCTGCTGAGAACAAAATTGCAGACATATGACACAACTGTTCAAATTATTAAACTTATGCATTGTATACCAAAGAAAGACACCATTTTGCAGTGTTTTGCTATGATAGTCAGGGGGTTTTTAATTAAATGTTTGAGCTTTGCAATATTGTTGAATATATGACATAAAGGTGCGTGAAGAAGGCGAATGCTAAACAATGTTGCTTGGTAATGCCAGCCTCTCACATTTTTGGCAATGAAGCAATACAATACGTGCAATTCAGTAAATCGCTCGAGAGTTCAGACACATTGAATCTGACATGGGGAATTATGTTTCCAATGGAATGCTTTAGATTGATTTGGTTGAAAGAGACTTAATAAAAAAGAGTACCCGAATTGCTTAAACTAAATCCATTACATAAATGGGGATGACATGTGCTACCGCAAAAAAAAAATATTTTTGTACAGCCGTATCAATATCCCGGGATACAATTTGATGAAAAATATAGATTTTTTTTTTTATATCCAGTTACAATTTCATTCCTTGAAATTACTGTCTTAACATGACGGTAAATAACACTGGGAGTGATAGAAATGCGAGTGACGGTACACTGTAGAGTTCAAGGCGTCTGGGTATATAAAGCATCGCTTTATTTTCGGGGCCACCAGTGGAGAGAAATGAGAAACGCTGGGGCATCGGGGCACCCTATGGTGTGGGTGAATGGACAGCTGAAGGGAGGCGTAAACGACCGTGTCTTCCGAGGTGCGTGAGGCCATAGCAGAAAAGGGCTTTCGTCTCCGGCTCTGTCAGCAGCACCGTATTGAAAACAAAGTTCTCGCACAAGGAGAGCGTTAACATAACTCCTAATTGGAGTTTGTCCATTCAACCATTCGGAGCTGACCCTGTCATTAATTTGAGTCAAGGAAAACACTCCAGCATAGTCTCTGCAGCAAGACCATTAACATTCCTCAGAGACAAAGGCATGCATTATAGAGACGATAGATATAACGTACATACTTTAAAACATATAAATGCATATCGTAATGCAGCCTTTTCTATTATGGCACCTTTGCTGTGTGTGTACAGTATTAATGCAGCATAACCACAATGGTTTTTATTTGCACGTTAACTGACACCGATTTAATTCATCCTGGAACGTCTCACCTCCGCCACAGGCATGCCCACACAGTGCTCACCCACGCTTCTATTGCAGCAGCTGTCAATAGTACTTTCCCACCAGTATGTAATGCTTTATTTTTTTATTTTCTGTAAATGTATTGTATTGTGATCTCCGAACGTTACACATGTATTATTTGTAGTGTTACATAGTGCCAGTTTTACAACACGCCTGGCTTTAAATAATCTGTGTGCCAGGTATTTCGGAAATGTTTGTCCCTGCAGCTCCGAATTGGAGAATTGGGGGGCACCTAGTTTCTGCAAACACTCAGGAATGGACAATTAAACAATTACAGATAATTTTCCTAATTCAGCGATATCGTTGGGACACAAAGGCACGTTGTGTTAATATAAAAGTCATTCTACGTATCTTTAAATTAGGGCTCGGCTCTGAAATTGTAATAGAAAGAGCAGGTGTTCAAATAAGAGGCAGATAGCATGTTATTTATTAATTTATCCTTTCCTAAGTTGATCTAAGATAGTAATGGTATATTCCTTGCCAAAGAGGATGCCGTTTGAACAAGCAAGACATTCGTCCCACATATCTGTATGATTTCTCAAGTTAAGCTGTTTAAACAGTGTGGCTGTTCGTAATAAAGCAGGCCTCTGTCGCTGTATTAAGGTGCAAGTCACGCATGTTGCAAATGATATGTATAGAGAAAGGATTCTAAAGAAAACTCAAACTTGTTTCTTTTCAAACAGTGCCTGCCCAGAAGCCAAAGTATGCAGAAGTCCCCAGGGTTCCAGAGTCTGCAAAGCTGGGGCCAGCAATTGCAACTGAGATAAAAGAAGGAGCTGGGCTTTTCCTGCATGGTAAGAAGTGCTCTCTATTTACTGTATCAAAAATGAGTGCATTTAAAACAAGAATTGTGCACGTACTTTGTATGCCACCCGCGTGTATGTGTGCGCGCGCGTGGGGCGCGGCAGTGTAGCGGTTCCACGCTGCGAACTCGGCTGTGTTCAATTCCTGCTCATGGCCAACACTGGTCTTGGGCCTCCCCTAGGTCGACTCAGCCTCAAATAAGTACCTGGTGTGTGAGCATCGCTGTTGGGGAGGCAAAGGCAGTCGGGCGTGGTGTTAGCCCCCCACTCCCTTCGTGTACCGTTCCGACCTTCATAGGTGCTCTCCTACAGCACCTGCCCCCACAGTCTGTTAAAGGCTATATGGTAGATCTTTGTGTGCGTGGGTGCTTGAGCACACAGAGAAAAGTGGTGGTGTAGCGGTTAGCAAGCTGCGCGAAGAGCCCAGTGAACTGGGTGTGATGCCTGGCGATGGATTGATTATATTAGTGGCGTTCATTCGCACCTGACTAACGCCTTTATTAACTCAGCCTTCAATGAAGTATTGGGGCCTGTGTGTAAACATTAGCACTGGAGACAAATGTGGCTGGGCATAATGCTGGCAAACAACACGTTCATGTTGCTGAACTGACTTTAACAGATGTTCATCAGCAGCAAGTCTATATATCCATATTGTTGAGGCACCTATGTTTGTACACTATACATAAGCATATTTCTTATAACGTTTCAAGATTTTTCCTGCAGAACAGTCGGTACATCTCAGTGAGCTTACATAAATGATCCGAATAATGATTTGTTCGTGCCTGCATTGTGCAAGAGGGATGGTCAAAATATTTTGGGAATGGAATTTCAAAAAGTCACAGCTCCCTCACTGTGACCGTATTGTGATATCTGTCTGTGTCATGGTGTCTCTGTACAGTAGCTCATCTCTAATGGGGATCCTTAGCCAGCTGAGGAAATTGCTCATTTATTGCAGGAGCCAGGATATCTATTTTGGAATTACTCTTTGGTACTTCAATAATGCATTTGAGTGTCTCTGTGAATAGCATTAGTGAGGATGTCTCCTTGCCTGAATCCTCCTATAATTTATAATTGGTTACTTTAAGCAATCTCAGTGTAGCTGTTTTATCAGTATAAATGGTTCTGATTATTATTTTTTAATGGCAGCATTGGTTTGTGAGAGGTTGGATAAGTGCATCTTTTTGCACTGAATCAAATGCCCTTTATAGTATACAAAGTTAGGCAAAGTCGTATTTTATATTAATTCGTCTTTTCCAAAATCTTATCGATAGTATGTATATGGTCAATGATGGAGAAACCTTTTGTAAAACCACCTTGCTGTTGTGGTTGGTTGGCCTATATATTGACTTATGTAGTTATGTTATCTTGGTGAATAGTTTTTTTTTGGGTCTGCTACGAGGATAATGGGTCTATAAATCTTCAAATCAATGTTGTCTTCCTTGTTGGCTAGCCAAATAATTGAAGCCTCATTCCACAATTCACATTTCATTTACGTCTAAATATTTCGTAAATAGGTCTGATAATATTTGAGGAATGGCGATGGTATAGGAAGGCAGTGGATAGACATGGCTGATGATGACTCGTGCTTTGTTTTTTCCTGCCTATTTATTTTCATATTTATTATCTAGTTTGATAAAAAAAATCACCCACAATTGAATGGTGTTTTATTCGACCAATAATAGACCTTTATTTTAACAGTTGAGAACCCATTGAGACTGCAAGTCTCTTTTGAAAAGGGGTGACTTGGGTCAACAATACTTGGCACGAGAAACCTTGACATTAAGTGAACATTATTCATGGGGTACTGTATTATGTGTTATTTCAATTTTGTTTTCAGATTTACCTTCATTTCATGTCTTTGGAATCAGATCAAAGCCCATGGAGATGCAGTGTTTACTCTGTAAGGAAGACGTGAGAGCCCATGCACGAACATTACTTTTTATGTATGAGGTATGTGTAGGTCATTTTCACGTTTGGGATATTGGCTGTGACTTTGACACAAGTGTCTCATTGCTGTGATTGTTACACAGGTCCTTTAGCATTCCTCTGTATAGTTGATGGAAGGTGAGTTTTGATAATGGCCTGCAGCGTTCCTGGCCGGTTATGGGAATTGAAATATCATCTCTGTTCAAACTGTGATGAGCTTGCTCACCACTGGGCTATCATGCGATTATTATTCATTCATATATCGCCATTAAAGTAGCAGAAGACTATATACTTTGCATATGTTGCCTTTTACAGGTTCCTAGCATTTATGCTGCTATGACAGCATTCATCATTGACTTGCAGTGTAGAAACTACATAAGTGGATACAAATCAATATATTGCACGCAGGAGTACAGAAAATTGAAGGATAGAAATATTATGTCCGTGCACGCATTGCGGATGCACGGGGGGGGGGGGGGGGGGGGGGGGGGGGGGGGGGGGGGTGAGCACAGGAAAGTCAGCTGCAAGTAGTAATTCATTCGTTTGGGTGGTCGTGCCTCCGCCGTCAAGTGTAAATACACGAGCGGAATGCAGCCCTTGGGGGGGCTTCTGCTTGCACAACAGATAGGCGTGTTGCAAGCCTCCTCTGCTCCAATTCGCCGCTTAAAATAATCTACGTGTAACAAACAGCTCCTTGCATTATTCATTTCGATTGCTTCAAAATTCCTGCCGCTGGTCCCTTTGCTTTGTGCCAGTTCCGCCATTGAGTTGTTGGCATTGAAAGTGTACGCTCAAGTCGGTGGATGTTTTTAAAGCGTCGTCTGTCTGACAGAGGGTTCCCACCGAGCATGTGCAGCATGTGGTGATATCAGCCAAAATTCGCCTTTGATGTGCAGAGGCTCGTCCATCTGCTGGACATTGTTCTGCAGCTGCAGGATGCGCAGGAGTCCACAGTTGCGCTGTGACCGGAAAACAGACGGGCGGCAGACTGAAGACCACCCGTTCTTATAGTGAAAACATCGTGTGTAAAATAAATCTCATTACAATTTCCGATATTATTAAAGCAATTGTGCATGCATTTTATTTCATTGTTTTGTATTTGGCTTTTATGTTTCTTCAAGGTAAGTGCATTCATTTCAAATAATTAGTCAATTGCCAATTGTATTCATTGCCGTCATGAAAGAATGTTGTACAGTGTGTATTCTGTTTCTATCCAGAATGTTATTCCATTAATTCAAATGTATTTTTTATCAAGATATTTCATGAGTATTTAACTAACTGGGTCAGCTTGAAAAATATATTGCCGTTGCTCTTTAAAAATGTGATTTTAAGCTCGTGTCATGTCCCCTCAAAGCAATGTTCGCACTGTGGCACGCTCACACCATGCACACAGGAACACTTTACTGTGGCTGGTTAAAAGCCTGCCCAAGTCTGCCTCTTGTCATGTGATTTCATAGACCTCATTAAATTATTCTGTGGTATTGTACACCTTCGAGATGGCCTTTAGAGCAGGAAAAATGGGAGAAAGAAGACATCGTGAAATGTTGTTGTTGTTATTATTACAATAATATCTCTTCCCACCTGACACCGAGGAAAACAGCACACACATCTTGTGTGCCCGTGAAAAATTAGCATCCTAAACCAGCAGTGCCTTGTGGTCATCTGGTACGATTGGCCGCATTGGTTATTGTTTGAAGCAGGCTGTTGTCTTGAGGGAGGAGACTGAGTTTAAAGGATTGTGAAATGGGAACAAGGTTCAAAGAAATGCATGGTATGTTTGAATGAGTATATATATGTGTGCAGGCCATGTTGGGGTACTGTGACTGGGGAGTTTGTTTAAGCTCGCCAGGAAAGGAAAGTGAATTTTGCAAAGCTATCTCATTTTGCCTCTGTTTCCAACCTCCTTATTTTTTAAATAGTTTCACATGCGGGTTTTTATATATTCTTGCCTCATTTGTGTGGCATAGGTTTTTTTAAGACGTTAAATTGAGTAAAATGAGGTTAGGCGATTCAAGCGCTTCATTATGTGATGTTGTTTGCATTCCCAAATTTATTGCCAGCCTGGGTGCTCATGATGGATTGCCATCATAATGCCTCTTGACCTGCTTGGTTTTGTAATGCTTAGAAAGTGGTGTCATTCAAGAATGCTGCTCATCTGTTTAATGCAGCTGTTGTAGCATTGCTCCTGTGCTCAAGGCGATATATATCATATAAAATGACACTCCAGAGTATACTGGTTTGTCCAGATTATAATCCTTTGAAACGCTTTTGCATTCTTTTAATGTTCTAACGCTTGTTTTTGTACATATTTCAAATGCCCGAAGTATTAATTATGCCTGGCAGTTGTGGCACGGGACCTTATGCATTGTTTTGATCAGGCATCCTTTGGCCATCTATCTCCAAAGCTGCCAAAAAGGGAATTCAGATCACAGTTTGAGGAATCACTGCATGCCTTGCAAAAGTTGAGCTTTGAAGCTTTTGTTCTCTGAGCTAGCTTGCACCACAAACAAATAAAATATGTAAAAAGTACAACTTGAGCGTTCAAGCCAGTCAGATTCTAAGTAATAATAACATAGCCACATAGTTCTGTCTGAAGTGTTACTTCAAGAGCAACACAATTATGGGAATAAGTGGCATTATTCCAGCCAAATATTAAGAAAGAGATTCTTGATTTTTAATCTCCCTGGATATAGCAAATTCATTCTTACAATTGAGTGGCTTGTCAATTATTTTACTTGAATGTGTTGTTTTAACACATTTATAATATTTAATATAAGAATGATTTTGGTCAACTGATGTGTATAATTGTTTGTTTGAGGATGATGTAATTTATTCAATGATCTTTTTGGGGCACCAGTCAAATGAAATTCCCTTTTGTCCACAAATACGGCCTGAAACTATTTTTCGAAATAGCTTGATACTAAATTACCAGGCAGCAATCCTGAAAAAGTGGAAATGTGTACCTCCATGGTTTCTGTAAAATTAGTTCATGATTCAGATTGATGCATAAAATAGAAATTATACACCTCTTCATAACTCCATAATATAGTTTTTTTGGGGTTAGATTGCGTGAATATAAATGTGTCGTTAAACCCGCCACCACCCGACACAGCCAATTAGTAAGGGTTGTCACGTAAACAGAACATGCTAATTCGTTACTAGTACAGCAGACCGGTGTGTTGGAGAGCAAATCCACAAACATTTACAATCTGAGCACGACGTTTTGCCAGTAATTACAACGAGCTTCATCAGGCGACAGCCAGATGTGTGGAGAAATCGTTCTGTTTCGTTCCTTAATTAGAGGGATAGATGTGATGACGTCACTTGTGAGCCCTTCACGTGGGAAGGGTGGGGGGGATTAAATGAATGCATATAAATTACAATGGGTATCCATTGTCGTTCGGGTTATTCATATGGTAATTAGTCAACGCACATTATGCATACACATTGCTCTTGTACCTCCTGTCGTTTGCGTGCAATAAAATATCAGTACCTGTTATTGTCCGCGTACAGGTAATCACCATTGATGTATGGTGACCTGTATAGACATGCATTTAAACACTATTATTTGATGATTCGCTTCCAAGCAGCACTAAACCTGTAGCTATTCGAACGGTTAAAATGATTGATATTCGTATCAATTTCGATAGCTTCTCTAATTAGCATTGGCCAGTAGTAACTGGTTTTGCACAGGACTTCAACATAAAAATCAATTAAATGTCCTTGTTGGCACGCGTGTTCTCATTGGCAGAAATTTTTGAATTGTTATTCCTAAATGTGGCTAGAACATTCTCTTTTATTTTATTGTCAACACCATTCCGATAATGTCACAGCATTATAACTGCTGGACCCGAGCTGTAAGTGTTCTGACACTTGCATTGTTTCTGTACTGCTTGCCTTTTGGCGTTCTCTGGTCTAATGCTAGTGAGACAAGGCCCGTCAAGGATGCTGTCTCTGGTGTAGGCCAATCAAGTTTAAAGGCAATGCACATATTTTAAATATTTATCAGAGCATGTTTTTTTTGCATATTTTGCCACAAGTATGTGTGGTTAATGCAGATGTGATGCTGAGCAAAAATGTATATATTTGAAATCTATTCTTATTTTTTGTATCATTTTGGATACTGGCAAAAAAGGTCCCATAGATAGCATTTGTATATATTTTTTAATTAATTGTCACCATTTGTACGGCCCTAGTTTCGCATTCAAAAGTCAGATTTTCTACTCAAATGACCCTTGAGGCTGTGCTAATCTGAGTCAGTGGTGGACATTCCACATCCCTATGATAAGGGGCCAGCTTATTTGTGGAACAACCACTGTTGACACCCCCACAAAGTGGTTCTAATTGTATAGATCCTGAAGAGATGATGGGCTAAGACAATCCCAAACCACTACAAATAAATATTCTGATTCTGAAACCAGGGTTTGAATTCCAAACCTGATTGTGGGTCACTCGCTCACCACCTGATTTGCAGTGGAGGCTCTGAAAGAGGCTGACAAAAATGTGTCAAAGCATTGCTTTGATCACTCTGGTAGTACTAAATATGCTTCGATTAAACCCGTGAAAGGAGAAAAACAACCATTAAAATGAAAATAATAGATTTCTGGTTGGTACAATTCATGTTTTTTGCAAAATGTCCAAGTTACTATTCCATGCACATGGTCTTTATCCATACTTCAAAGAACCTGGACAATTTATTCAATTGCCATGTAGTAATCACAGGACAAGTGGTCCCCACTTACCTTTTGTCGTGAAAATTAGAAATTGAGCAATTTTTCATTGTGTGCCCTTGAACAGGAAGCCTAGATTTGTCAATGCAGCCTTTGCTTTGTGGAAGAGTACAAAAAAAACATTCGATATACTTCGTGGCTTGGCAAGCTCAGTCCAATTATGTGGCTGCAAATATATCTTTAAAATACAGACAATAATATGTGGGTAGCTCTTATCGACCATTGTCCACTAATGTGTATCTCAAAGTAGTGCACCATGTCGGAGTATAATTGATGACTTGTTGACAGCATAGCCTTGAAAGGATTTTAAATTTCCACAAGCTTTCTTGTCATTTAAAATCCTCACATCAACAGCAAGGCTAATATTTGAAGATTTATTATTTTTGTAAGTTAAGCTGGACAGGAATTCTAGTGGCTGTGTGTAACATAGCAGTGCTATTTATTCTGCAGGGAGGGCTCAAGTATTTATACATTCAAACTTAGCGTTTGTCAGTTTTGCAATACTTTAGCTCTGGCACAGGAGAGCTGGCAAGAAATATATTTAATCATTAAATGAAAAATTCGCCAAAAACCAACCCACGAACATTCAAAAACTGTTTCGCTATTTAGACTTTCATGCTCGCACTTCACAAACCAGGAGTGCAAATTGGCGATGTAAACGCGGGTACCGAAGGAGGGCCTGGAAGACGATGGAGCGTTACCAGCTGTTTTTACGCCGCACCCTTGAAGAATGTGAGAAATGTTTATTTAAGAAAGGGATCTTCCACCTGTTCACTGGACAGTACTGAAGCAAAAGGGTGGCTCCTCGTTTTGCAGGAAGGGCAGCATGAATGCAAGCATGTTCAAAATTGTTTGCTTCGCTGACAGTTAAAAATGTGTTTCTAGTTTTGTATTTTGTTGATCGGAATGTTTCCCCTCAAAATTTCCTAAGCGATACCTTTGTTGAGCACAGCTTTTTGGTTCTAATCCTGACCTTCATCTTTGAGAGAATGATCATGCTGTCTCACGTTGGGCTGGCAGATGCAGAGAAGGAGTGCAGTGTCCAGGAGACTGCGGACGCGTTGATGACGCGCCTGGGACTCCTGCTGGGAAGCAAGGCAGCGGCGTGTAGTGTCCCCGAGAGAGCCGACACAAAGGTACGTACATCCTCGATCACTGCGACAAATGTGGTATGCTGGGGTTGAAATGTGAATGGGCGTGTATTCTCAGCGTTGAGGATATGCAATGGTTGCGTAATTTTTCCTGCCTTGTTGATTTGCATAGCATTTTGCCATGAACTTTTGTAAAAAAAAAAATCCCGCTTTGTGTAAATATGCTTGCAAGCTACAAATCGCTTCTGAAGTGACTCTTTTTGTTCCAATCCACTTTGTAGGAGAGTCGAAGGTTATATCCAAGTCAAAAACATATTCCCTGAATCCTAAGCATTAATCCTAGGAATCGTTTCACTTGTGCCGCTGTCATGGCAGGCTTAATGCAATAAAACTATACATCACGTATGTTATACACTTGAGATTAAACCTGACAACAGCTTTGCCCTGGCTACCGTTGTCTTGTCCACTTAATTGTGCAACCGTTCTGACGTGTAAGCTCTTTTTATGCACTGTCCCAGATTGTGAGCTTTTAGAAAACTGTTGCTGTTAAGCTCTATGCGCGTTGAAATTCTGCCCGCCTCTCCTGCATTACCATGGGGGAAGTATCACATAACTGTAATTCAGTCGGACATGACGTGTCTAGTTATTGGTTTCTGCACGGAGGTAAGCGGCTATGGGTGAAATCTGCCTTCCCTGAACGGCTTAGAGAAGGCGAGGCTTTTAAATGTAGCCTAACTCATCACAGGTGTGCACACATATAGTGTAATGGCTAAGCGCGCTTGTGTAAACCTTGTCAAATTCTGTTTTTAACAGGGAACGGTTCTGCAGCACACCGCAGTTTAGCTGCGAGCGGCTTAGGTTATGCGAACACGGTGATTAACCGCAAGTTGTGTGACGTACACAACCTGCCATTCTGAAACATGTAAGGCGAACTACAAACAACGGGGTTTTGGGTTTGTGTTTAGAAGAAGAATAAAAAAAATATACTATTCAAAGTAAAACAACCTTCTACGTGACTGCACTGGCAACGATTGCCCACTTACGGCACGGATGAGGGCGGTGGGGCTGGGTGAACGGGACTGTGTTTCTCATTTCTTTCCCGCTCCGTTCGTATTGACTCTCGCTCCGACGTGCAACAGCCGGGCCGCATAGGGGCCATCCATTTAGTGCGTACGCATGGAGTGGGGACGGGGGGTTAACTCAAATGCGTACGCTTGCATATGGGGGGGGGGGGGGGTCTACTGACAATGTGCGTACGCATAGGAAACGGGGGGGGGGGGGGGGTGAAGCCTCGATAATAATTTGCCTACATTGGCCTTCAAATTAAATAGTCCGGCGGTGGACTATCGGTTTGCTTAAACGCGTTAATATTATGAATCATTGATCGTTTCTGCGTGGATTAAATATCGGCCGTTCTATAGGATTCGGGGGGGGGTAGGGGGGTGTGCGTCAAAAGTACGTACGCAGGTGAGGAGGGGAGGGGGGTAAAAAGTACGCATGCGTACAGCGAGGGGTGGAGGGGGTCAAGTTTTGACATATTTTTGCGTACCTACTCAATGGATGGCCCCTAAATAGCGCGTGTTGTCGCCATTCCTCGCGCCGCTCGCTCGGTTCCTCCCAAGCGACACGCTCTCGCCGGGGTTTCTGCTGGGAGCGCCGCTGCTTGACACAGAGGCCGTGGTGAGGAGCAGTGTGTGTTGAGCGGGTGAGCGCGGGCAGCGTTGCTGACCTGAATACAAGAGACTGTTTTGTGCCGCGCACGGGAGGCCAAGCCAGAGCCCCCCCCCCCCCCCCCCCCATTAATCATCCGTTTCCAAAGCGTAATTAGACAAAGAGCATCCGTGAGAGCGCCGTTCTGGTTCTTTTTTTACGCGTAAGGGAAATGTAAGGCTTTCTTTTTACTCTTAACGTGAGCTGACAGAATTTGGCAGTGTTAACTAAAGCTTTATCAGGATTTCACTTGATTCGGCACATGTTTTTTTGAAAGGAGCTGCATCTAACGATGAATTGTGTAATCATATGAGGCTACATTGCAGTCCATAGTAAACTCGGGTAGTTACCAGCTATATTACATGCATTTTTGTATCATCAAGCATACCGTTATTTGTTTGGTGGTTAATAAAAAGTTTTCATTCGGTGACTTTCGATAGGATTCTGAGCCAAACTAAAGGGTATCTTAACAGGACAGGGATTCCGTATCAGGTCTCCATAGTTGCATGTGGTGCAAGCTAGAGGTTTGAACATAATTTCCATTTCAAGCTGTGCTCTTGTCTGTAAATTTGAGCCAGCTCATTTTTAGTCACATTTAAACAAAATGTGGCACATCACAGCCCAGAATTTGCCATAAATTAAGATGAATGTGTTCAATATGAGACTCAAAATGTATGTTCTCATCGTTCCATAAGCCTACATATTGTTGCTATAATCCATACAGTGTCTACTGCCACTTTGGATTGCTTAAAAAAAAACGTAGCATTGAACTGTAACACATTTAAAAACTGTTGCTTTTCCATCCTGTTGTACCAACGAAAAAAAATGCAACTTTAGTTTAAAATCTACTAGTGATTGTAATGTTATTAGGGAATATCTATAAACAAGGTAGTTAATTGAAGGTTGCTTACAGTGAGGTACTTTTGGGAAACCTGAATTTTTATTAAACCAAAACATTAACAAACCGACTAGCTCTAGCAAGTTGCGAGGTTCAAAGGCGGTGAGGACCGCAACGTCGGTATCAACAGGAAGGATCGTTGCTATGTGTAAAACTGGGCTCGCCGCATGACAACGGAGCTGAAATAGTGAACCTTGGACGTGACTGGGTTGTTTGCCCAGGCATCTGAGAGAGAAGGGTCACTCACAAGTTTTTTTGCCTCTTGCTTCTAAGTAACTGGACACGTAATGAAAAATAATTACTGTATACGTTTTATGCATGTCACTGGGAAATGCTCTATAATCTCTATAAACTACAGGGATGTGTCTTTTGGGTTCTTTCGGTAAAGTCACGTAGAATGGAAATAAAATAATAAGAATAAAACATAATAAAATAAAATTCTCACGACGTTTCGGCCACAACACACGTAGCCTTCTTCAGGTGAAGAAACAGGACTGTCCAGAAGACAGCGCTTGAGTGAACACTGCCAAGCAAGTGCAGCGTCTTTTTAAGCTGTGTGGGAGGAATTAACATATGAATAGGGACAAGCTTCGGAACGGATGAGTGGGGGGGGGGGTAAAAAAGGGATACAACAAAACCGCCACAGTGCTCTGTTCTGTGTTGAATTATAACTGTGCTATAAACTGGACTACTATACAATACAATATTATACCTTGCAATCTAAACTACATGGTATAATATCATATCCATAGACAAATTCCACCTTTGAATTATACAATGCGTTACTATACAATACCCTATACTTTAGACTATACAATTTTAGACTTGTAATATTACACTGTCTTATTCTATCAACTCTACTGTATACCACATTGCTGTATATTCACTATACAATTACGATACTATATATTGCCCCATGAATTATGTTAAACATTACAATGTTATACTCTTCATTATTATTATTATACAATATGCTATAAGCCATACCATTGACTGTCGTGTGAAAGGTATTAAGAGGCAGTGCCTGCGAATGGACTGCGGTCTGAAGGTCACCGTAAAATACAATCAATTAAGAACCGAAATGGTTTATAACATCTTTCCAATGGTTACTAAGCCAGAATCCATATTATCGGTTGAAATTGGCTGTGTTTGTATATGTGGATGGCCTCATGAACGAATCTCTCATGGTAGCCGGATGGCTTGCAGAGAACTTCCGTCTTGGAGAAGTCAATGTCATGTGAGCCCATTGAATTTATAACAGTGATCTGCCACGGCTGAGGAGTTCGTCCTACCGTGTTTCAAGTCTGCTTTATGTTCACGGATGCGGTCCGAGATATCTTTTTCGACTTCCATGGAAGTCAAAAAAGATGGCAAGCTACCCTTTTTGGATGTACTAATTAAAAGGAGACCTGATGGTTCAATGAGCCACTCTGTCTACAGGAAAGCTACCCATACGGATGCTTACTTTTAACCGGATTCCCACCACCATCCATTCTACGTGACTTTACCGAAAGAACCCAGAAGATGAATCCCTGCAGTCACGAAAGCTTTAAATCGAAATTTTACAGGAATGTGGTTTAAATAATGCAATAAAATGTTACTTTTGAAAGATATTATTCTGAATCTGACCGTTTTGCCTTAGCATAACACGGCGTGACAACTGCTGTTCAAATGGTTTCTAGGTTTGCTGTTAGATTTTTATTCAGTCATGTGTGGAAACATCACGAGACAATCCACAATGGCCCCAGAGTCAGTCGGTGCTGGCGTCTTCCACGAGGAGCTCATAAAACCACAACGGCTGCCCACGTTTAAAGCGTAAACAAACAAGGAGCATAATGCACAATGGTATAAACGGCTCGCACCTCGCCGTAACATACAAACGCCCCTTCTCACGCGCCGCCAGTGATAAGCGCTCCTAATCTTCAGAGCTCGCCGCCAAGCCACCCACACGAGCCAGCCCCCCCCTGTTGTGCAGCCTGTTGCGCGTCCAGTGCGAGCGCCCTTTCTGCTCGGCGCTACAGGGGGGATGCGTTTTTCATCGTCCGCAGAAAATTGTATAATTGGTCTGCTTGGGGAACGACGTTTCCACCAGACAAGGTGTCCGGGTTCCGATTTTTTGTTGAGCGGAAGACGAATCGCGCACTAAAGAAAGGTTTGTTGGTTTTCATTTTTACTTGCAAGTCCTAGCTTATGCTGTTATGCATTTTATTTTCCTGCAAAATAATGTTTCTCAGTACAATGTGGAGTTGCGGCTGTTTATTATCTACTGTTGTAATCACTAACTCATGAAGGCTTTGGCTAATGCAGAGATATTCTCACGGCAACAGGGATCAAACTTGATCTATACCAACATGGTTGTATTTGTCTACATGGGCTTATGTTGACTTTAGCATCTGCTCTTGTTAATGATGTTTCAAAGTTGCTTCAAGGGAGTTCTGTTTTTGTTTCTTCATGGGAGTACTATTTTCCCTCCCCAAGCAATTATATTCATACTTATTATTAATGCTATTAGATTGTTCCTTTGTAAATTACATAATTTTATAAATTGCTTACGCCTTTCACAGTGAATACTTTCTTTTCAGAAGTAAAATGAAAAGAAATTGTATCAATGTAATTGACGATGGATTCCTCTTGAAGGACCACTGGAATTGTAATTAAATTATTTTATGCCAAAATTTGTTTTGTGCATCAGATTTTACCTATCCCTGTCAGAAAAGAAACAAACATAGCAATAAATATCGTAATGACTGTAATTGCTCATGCTGAATGGAGGTGAAGCGCATGGCTGAGCAGAGATCCCAATCTGCTCTGTTGGCGGCGGTAGACACGAATGCCAGCACTGTTTTGCCGGAATCCTTGCCCACGACACAGCGGACTTGAACCGATGTGTCCTGAGACTGGCGGTGGGCATAGAAATGTTCGGTTATCTGAACGTGTATTCTGCCCACCTCACTCCTCGTGCGACTGACGCTCTTGTCAGTTGCGATGAGGGATGTCCTCGCCATGTTATGAGGGCAGCATTTCCCTTACGCCTTGTATGCCGTGCTGGGTACTGAGCAAAAGGATCGAAGTGTTTTGAAATAAGGGCCTGGTGCTCGTGCAGCCAAGTCGCCCACCACTGCTGGTGGCTGGGGCTCATACACTCTATAGATAATGGAGTGTGAAGCCTTTTCAACCTGTGGAGCAGCAGAGAGCTTTGATTCCCTTCCAATCTATATCTGAGTCTCTAAATATACTTTATGATGAAAGGACCAATCACACAAAAACAGGTTTCCAATATTTTTTTCAAAATGCCACGTGAGATTTTAAAAGTTATGGACTGGTTTGAATCGGATTGTTCTAATTACTTCATGATTGCGTGTGTTCATCCATTTTTTTGAGAAATAATCAATTCACCAAAAGTCTAACAAAACCCATCTAAATGCACATTAATCCTCGTGTTACATGGTAGAGTGTATTCTATACATACTGACCTATCTTCTTTGGTTCTTTCGGTAAAGTCACGTAGAATGAGAATAAAATAATCAATTGATAAAATAAAATAACACAATAAAATTCTCACGACGTTTCGGCCACAACACAAGCGGCCTTTATTTTATTCTCATTCTACGTGACTTTACCGAAAGAACCAAAGAAGATGAATCCTTGCAGTCACGAAAGCTTTAAATCATACTGACCTATTTAGCAAATATGCATGACAATAATATGCATCACAGGGGATCAGTAGCGCAGTGGTTAGAGCCCTGTGCTGCATCTCATGGTGAGCTGCCTGAGTAAAATTCCTCACTACAGCAGTGGCGAGTGATAGCTTGATTGGTCCTGGCCCCCTTGCTTCACCAACGCGCATTGTCCAGTATGGTGAAATATGGTGATATATACACCCACAACTGACACAGCATTGGTAGGCCATCAACAAGAAGTGTATGGAAACATGTTTGTAAAGTATTATCACATCGCAAAGGTATGCATTATTGTAAATTATCGAACAATTTCAGTGTTTGGTATGACTAAGTCAGCTTTGGATAAACACGTTTAAATCTCTGCACTTGAACATCTCAGCCTAAAGTGATCTACTTACTGTGTTTCAAGTTCTGGTTCATTGTAATCTTTTAATTTCCATGACACATGGCTACTGAGTGGAGGATTCTTTAACATTAGTCCAGACCAGCTTTGGCAGCCACCTTGAGCCATAAGATAGGTAAAGGTGCATCCCTGCAATTGCTTTGCTCAAACATGCCATTTTTGGTAGAAGGGCCTCCACTGGAAGGAGCTGTGGAGAGCCACTTTATAAGGTATTTGGCCTACTCTTCCAACTGGCCAGACAGTTTTGTGTTGAAAGTGTTCAGCTTGCAAGGAACCGTGAAAACAAAGTGCATGTTCAGGTGCGGCAGCGATAGTGTATAGGGTGGCGACCGGTGTGGTGAGTGGATGGCTGAGGTTATTTGACCACGTTGGCCCCCACTGTGCTTCTTCGCCAACCCCCCCCCCCCCCCCCCCCCCGCCCGCCGCTCGCGTAGCCATCGGCAGTCAGTGGCATCAGCCCGTGTTCCACCCTGACGAGCGGATCCCCTTCCCCCGGGACGGGCAGCCCCTGTTCCACGCTGCACGGAGGGCCCGCGGGGGGCTCCAAGCCAACGCCGCCCAGCAAGGGCAGCCCCTACAGCAGCGTGGGCAGCGCCAGCTCCACCCTGGAGAGCAAGGACAGCGGCATTATCGGTGAGCGGCGCCGGCGCCGTCCGTGTTCACCGGCTCGCTAACGTCGACGTGCCACTGCGCTCGTTATTCTACCGCTGCCGTTGTCTCTTATCGCCCAAGAGTGAATGAGGGCCACATGGACAGGATGAGTCTCTCGGAGCAATCGATTGCACAAGAAACATTTAGCCTTAATGGGCTCACACCTCATTAAAATATTTGATTATTTAATTGAGTTGTGCCAAAAAATGCCCATCACGTGCTTTATAATTTTAGGTTAACAAATTGTAAAAGGGGACTGGTGCCTCGTACATCCCAGTATACATATTTCATTAATACATTCCATTTTATTTATGAACGTGGTAATACCGTTCACACAATTAGATGGTTTATTCACAAGTAGATGAAGGTTAATAATAACGTTGTCTTTACACAGTCTCACATCTTCGGGTTGTCAGAGAGGGCTTCCAAAAAAAATATCATCGTGCTCAGTGAGCACCACCTAGAGAATAATGACCACTGCAGACTCGTGTTCCGGACACGGGGGCTTTCAGCGTAATGCTGAGGTCGGCGACACAGCTCTCTAAATGTCACAGAAATGATCACAAGTGCTCCATTGATGCAGGAGCAGGTCGAAGTGGGAATAAAAATATGGGCTTTCTGGCCAGCCTGCTACCGGCGAGTTTAATGAATGGTAGCCTGCACTAAATAAAATTTCCTTTTGAGACGGGGTCTGCTCGTCTGCCTTTTTATTCGCCAATAAATTTAAAAGCATTTGGGGCCGCCTTTAAAAAGAGTTCTGATTGGAAATCATATTGAGCTGTGCATTTTTCAATTTGGCTTCACAATGTGCATGTGTATATATTTGTGAATTGTTTTTGTGAAAGTGTACAACAGTGACTTAACATCGCAATTAAGACCTTGTGAAGAATATGCTCTCACTGATTGGCGCCGTTTTGATGAGGTTGACTGGCAATTGTCTACAACCCTGTTTGCCACCATAATAACGACTTTGACGAAATCGTGGTACAACGTAGCAAGTATAATTGTGTTAGTACGCGCCTTCCTTTAGTTATATCCTGCCACTGACATTGCAGCGGTTAGGTACCCTAGTGTGCAGGTCTTACAGCACTGTTTAAACATATGCAATGCAGCTGGGCAATTACTGTACACAAAATAAATGCAATATAACACGACAGTAGTTCTAAATGTTTAAAAAAAGCAATACTAGAGTCGATGCTTAGGTAGAGATGATTGATATTTGAGCTAAGACCGATGTAATGAAAGTGATTTGAGGCAAGAAAAAGAAAATGACATTTCAACTGATAGCCCATCAATCATAAGGGATGAAAACTCCCGATAAAGCCTCTTATATCTTACTCATTGCCGGAATTGTGTACCGATTCCCGAATGCAATTTTGTTTCCTGTATAAATTCACGATAATGGAATGCTGATACGGCAACTAAAATGATGATTGATATTTGATATCAGCAGCACCCTTAAAAGGAGTAGGGTGATGTGTCGCCTGACTGACTGACAGGTTGGTTATTGCAAGTAACCCGCGTATGATGGGATATCTTCATTTTAGAACAGTCAGTGGTGATATTGCTGCTCCGTTGTCAAGTCTACATTGTCATTTTGGGTACAGCCAAAGTAAATGGGGGGGGGGGCAGGTATTGTTATTTATTTTAGGGGTTTTCAATAGGATAATGGATTGTCTGGTCAGAATTTTGTGTCACCAGGGTCCTTTGTTGAATACTGCCAGCTTTGCAGGCAAATGTGAATCAGAATCAGAAATGTTATTTATACCGGAGGAATCTGATGAGCTATAAAGCTCTTTTTCACAGATGTCCAGTAGAGGCAGGTCAGAACGTTACAACAAAAAATACTAACACGCACAATAAGAGTGCAAATTATAGGCAAATCACTTAAATATAGAAAATGAGACTAAACTATTTCTTTAATCTTACGAGGTCTGAAGTAGTGCAATTTTACCAGTGATTTTATCAAGGATAAAGGATCTGTGGTACCATTCAGTTACATGCCTGTCTCTTTATGTCAGTACTGTATATCATGGCAATGAAGGTTTTAACAGAAGGGAAGATTGGATTTTCCTGTGATAATTGTGAGCGTGTCATTAAACGTTCAGCATTTTGGAACATTCGTTGTACAATTTCATCTTGTAAATGGATTGCAAAAGGGAGTGATTAATGATATAGTACCGTTTATTTACACACAGTTGCCATGCCATTTTACGAATAACATGCTGGACATAAAACTGCATTGCACAGTATGATTTTTATCTAACATGAAAAAGACACTGGCTGTCCCACACACGTGCGTGTGGTACAAAATGAAGCACTTTATATGCAAGAAGGCACGCAGGAATTGTTCACATATAAAACCACCTATAGGCACCACGAGCGGACTGCAGCCATCTCACAGTTCCTATTGAGTTGCATGGACAAAGTACGCGATTCTAAGTTTTTAATGCACTGCAGAGGTGGTAAATGTAATGTCTGAGTGAGTAACCCCAAATGCTATAATTCCTGTTTGTACGAGGCAACATCATCACTTTATTTCCAGCGAGCTTCATGAAAGTATTAAAAATGTCACTCGTGTGTATAGTGATGAGTTTTACTCGTATGTTTCTGTATTCAGCCATTTTGAATGCCTCCTTGGGTAAAATTACACCCTTTTAAAAAATGCACATAGTCTGCATTTTTTGTGGTGATCAAGTATGCTAACCTAAATGCTCAGGCATCTTAAAAGAATGGTAACATTTGAATATCAGGTGATCCTTTAACACCAAACCATTTTGTGCCCATGTTTGTATTTGGCATCAAACAAAGACACCAAACACGTGGAACCAAAAAAAAACATAAAAACAGTGATTGAAGGATATATTTATTTATTTTGCTCTTCTTCTTTTCAGCCACAATAACGAGCTCCTCAGAAAATGTGGAACGGAGTGGCTGCAGCCTGGAGCGGAGTAAGGAGGAAAGTGGGGAAGGTGGCGATGGAGGGAGCACGGGCACGAGTCCCTGGCACCACCCAGGCCAGGCCGGGCCACAGGGAGAGCCGACCGGTGCCGCTGGGACCAGGCCATCTGTGTGCAGCCAAAGTCTGAGTCGCACGTTGGAGGGGGCGGCCGGAGCCACCCAGCTGCCTATGCAGGAGGCCGTGTCTGCCCACATGATGCCCAGGCCCAACTCGGTGGCAGGTGCTTGCTTAATTATTTCTTTATCTGTCCATCTCTGGCGCAACCAGCGACAAAATGTATTCCAGTGTTAAAGGCAGAATCCCTTTTTGTGATGTTCTTTTTGCTTTAATGACTTTACAATGGTGGTACTGGGTGGTAAAATTGTTAGCTCACTGCGGTGTGAACACGACTAGCCATTTCGTTTCCTAACATCATTGGAGAGTGGTGCTCCAACTGGTCTTCTGCTCTCCCCACACTTCACTCATGTGCCTTTACCAGCATGGTGAAGTATGGTGAAACAAAAACAATGACTGATATGGCATGAAGAGGCCTAAAAAATACAAAAGAATACTAATAATGTTAACAGTTTATCTGGCCAAGTAGTATTGTTGGAGAGCCCAACTCACCATTATAAGGTTGTGAGTTCATGTCATGGCTCGATTACACCCATCATTCTCCAGAGGTCAATAAAATGAGCACCACTTGAGAAAGTCAACGGTAGTTATCGTATGGAGAGACTGACCCTAAAATAATGTTGAAATTCCACTGCTGGCTCCGGGTCTTCAACAGGAATGGAATGAGCCCCAGACCATGCGAGTGTGAATAGATAGCCAGTTTGACTTTTTTCCTTTACATATACTGCTGAATTGTCTTTATTGTCACAAAAAAAATTGCCTGGTCATAACATGGTTAATAACAGGAAACCAGTGTGTTATTCGTGCCCTTGTTTGTTTATGGACTTAGTTGCTCGCCTATTCATTCAGTGCTCTGTTCATTGTGGAAGTTAAAAATGCTGAGATAAGCAATTTAATTATGACTCAGAGGATTACACTCGGGCTAGCATTGTCTCAATTGTGTGATGAACAAACCAGAACTGAATTACATTTGTTAAATACTCAGAACATTTTCATATGCAGACATGTCTTGTGCCGTCTATGTTCAGTAGAGCCTTGCTATCCCCACGCTTTTGTAAGGCAAGTACACATTTTTGTTTAGTTTGACACAGTATGTTGTGTAATGTGAGAGATTTGTGAGAGGTGTGTGCATACTGCACCACTGTAGGTCTCTGTTAATTGGCATGTTATGTACTTCTATGGTTGCTTGTCTGAGAAAAATGATGGCACATGGTTCTCAATGGGAAATTGTAAGGTATTCTCGCTTTACTATCTTTAAGGCTCTGTGGGTCAAAGGGCTTGCATTCCAGCCATACCAACCCCAACACAGCTTGGTATTCAGTGACAGATGTGTTTCGTTGCTTAGCTTTTACCCACAAGCATATCCACATGCAGCAAGGAAACTTTCCATAAATAAGTTATCTTTCTTGGGTCAGTGCATAACTCATGTTAATAATTTCCATTACTCGTGGATATAGGATTTTGCACCAACCTGGCTTGAGTGATGGTATTTAGAAATTTAAGAGGGACAGGCCACGAATGGCTTTGCCAAGTGGTTGTGAAGTTTTGACGGCAGTGTAAGGCTGTGAGGAGCACAGACTGTAAATGGAGTTCTGCTGAACAACGGTAGTGAACTGTTTTGACCGCATTAATCAATATATTTGCGGTGTGTTATTTAAGACGAAATTGATCAGTCAGTTAATTTCAGTGGATTTTTTTTACAGTCGCCACCGCATCAAGCTAATTTGGCGTTATATAAACAATGTAGCCATTTCCAGATTAATGTAATGCGTATTAATCTTAAGTATTCAAACAGCATTTGTACAACACTAGCAGGATTTAGCGGTTAATATCTCATGTCAAATGTGGAAATAACTTCTAAACATCTACTCCCTTTTAAAGTGTTTCCTGCCTTTATATGTTGTATTTAAAGGAAAACTGGGCAGCTAATGCATTGTTTGAGAGTTCCTTCGTGTTTCCTAGGGAGACAATGTGCACTCAAAGTGCGGCACATTTTAGCATTTTGCTCCACTGACCCTTTCACAAAACAGAGACCCAAGTTGACAAATGCAGTTGAGACCATTTCATCTTCATACTGCTGACCTCATCGTGACGGCTGGATTTTAATCAGTAGGCGATTTTTCCGTGACTGGATAGCAGCAGTTTTTTTTGTTACATCAAGATAGCCTGCACGCTTAACAGCGTTTCCAGGGGTTAGCTGAGGCCAACGAAAGTAGAGGACATTCAGTGCATATTTTGCACAAATATGCAACCAAGCAACAAAACGAGTAATGGTAACCGTGTCTGGTACCCACACAACTTATGCTAACCACCTGGTATTGTGAAACTATCTAAAGCGAAGTGAACCACTGGTAAATGTGCAATTTCCATGCTTGATACTGAAACAGGCAGCCCTAATGTGGCGCAGTGGAGCATTTTTATTCCCCGTTCCCTGCTGGTTAGCAGGCACGGGACCAGCGGTGAGGAGGCTTGGCTGGTATTTAGCCACGTGCACCTGAAGTGGCCTAAAAATCCTGCACCCTTCATTCAGATGAGCTTTTTTTTTTCAACAAAATTGAAGGCAAGAGGTGTGGTCTGTGCACATTCATTAATAAATATGCGAGTACTATGCGCCACAGTGGCGAGATGTTAACTACCTCGCCTGGAATGAAGGAGGTCGTTGGTTTGATCCCGACCCTTGACGCCTGTAGATTTGTAGTTAAAATTTTCTCCTCGTCGTCGCAAGGATTTTTCTCCAGGTCCCCGAGTTTTGCCCTCCACATGTTTGGCTGCTGTACATTTCCACATGATAAGCCACTTTGTTGAGCTATCATTTGTGGCCAGGGCACTTCTGAAAAAGAGCTACATCGCTCAATGTACCTTACCTGGCAAAATAATAATAGTCGTTTTAAATAAATTATAACGTCATTCAGGACCGACTCCCTCCTTATGTCATTCAATAATTTTTCTTGAATTAAAAATCCTTAAGGACCTGGTCAAACAACCCAAGCAGGACCCTTCTGAAAAAAAGTCTTCAGACCTCAGTAAGGCTCTACCAGATGTATAAAGGACGGTATTAAAGTATAATAACTGCAACATTCTAAGATAAGTGCATTCCTGCATCAAAAATGGGGTTTCCGAAAGTATCAAAAGTGCCCGATCATTTATTATTACGACAGCATAGCGGTTCCTGCGGCGTTGTGACCTTGAATGGGCAGACACAAAGCAAAGCATGGAAGAAAGCTGCTCCACGTTGAACCCATCTCTGTGGCTCATACCGGCCTCGATTACGATGATAGATGTGATTTATATAATATAAGGACTTAGAAAATCTGCAACAGCTTTAGCAGTCATGCCCCCTATTTCATCTGCCCATGCCGGGGCCGGCTTTGCTGTGTGGAATGTTAGGAGCCAGGGCAATGAGAGTGCGTAATCGGTGGCAGTCAGGGTTTGCTTGAGGTGAAGCCGTGCCCTCGTCTCAAAAGCTTCTTTGTGCCATTTAACAGGGAATGGTGCGGCGTGTTTTCCGTTTCATGTAAGGCTATAGCCGTAGTAGGTCCGAGGCTCCGAGCAGCTGCATAATGGGGCTCTGTGTGGCTCGTGCTCACCCTGGCCGTGATTGCAAATAATCTCGTGCAAATTCGATACCGTTCAGGTTCACCTTGAAGAGTGTTGAGTCACGGAGGCAAAATTTTGATTGCAGAATGGGAGGTGGTTTTATTATTACAGTGAGGGAAAAAAGTATTTGATCCCCTGCTGATTTTGTACGTTTCCCCACTGACAAATAAATGATCAGTCTATAATTTTAATGGTAGCTTTATTTGAACAGTGAGAGACAGAATAACAACAACAAAATCCAGAAAAACGCATGTCAAAAATGTATAAATTGATTTGCATTTTAATGAGGGAAATAAGTATTTGACTCCCTCTCAATCAGAAAGATTTCTGGCTCCCAGGTGTCTTTTATACAGGTAACAAGCTGAGATTAGGAGCACTCCTTTTAAGAGTACTCCTAATCTCAGCTTGTTATCTATATAAAATACACCTGTCCACAGAAGCAATCAATCAGATTCCAAACTCTCCACCATGGCCAAGACCAAAGAGCTCTCCAAGGATGTCAGGGACAAGATTGTAGACCTACACAAGACTGGAATGGGCTACAAGACCATTGCCAAGCAGCTTGGTGAGAAGGTGACAACAGTTGGTGCGATTATTCGCAAATGGAAGAAACACAAAAGAACTGTCAATCTCCCTCGGCCTGGGGCTCCATGCAAGATCTCACCTCGTGGAGTTGCAATGATCATGAGAACGGTGAGGAATCAGCCCAGAACTACACGGGAGGATCTTGTCAATGATGTCAAGGCAGCTGGGACCATAGTCACCAAGAAAACAATTGGTAACACACTACGCCGTAAAGGACTGAAATCCTGCAGCGCCCGCAAGGTCCCCCTGCTCAAGAAAGCACATATACATGCCCGTGTGAAGTTTGCCAATGAACATCTGAATGATTCAGAGGACAACTGGGTGAAAGTGTTGTGGTCAGATGAGACCAAAATGGAGCTCTTTGGCATCAACTCAACTCGCCGTGTTTGGAGGAGGAGGAATGCTGCCTATGACCCCAAGAACACCATCCCCACCGTCAAACATGGAGGTGGAAACATTATGCTTTGGGAGTGTTTTTCTGCTAAGGGGACAGGACAACTTCACCGCATCAAAGGGACGATGGACGGGGCCATGTACCGTCAAATCTTGGGTGTGAACCTCCTTCCCTCAGCCATGGCATTGAAAATGGGTCGTGGATGGGTATTCCAGCATGACAATGACCCAAAACACACGGCCAAGGCAACAAAGGAGTGGCTCAAGAAGAAGCACATTAAGGTCCTGGAGTGGCCTAGCCAGTCTCCTGACCTTAATCCCATAGAAAATCTGTGGAGGGAGCTGAAGGTTCGAGTTGCCAAACGCCAGCCTTGAAACCTTAATGACTTGGAGCAGATCTGCAAAGAGGAGTGGGACAAAATTCCTTCCTGAGATGTGTGCAAACCTGGTGGCCAACTACAAAAAAAGTCTGACCTCTGTGATTGCCAACAAGGGTTTTGCCACCAAGTACTAAGTCATGTTTTGCAGAGG